ACATTGATTCCAATTTGTTTGTTTCAGAGTGCACTTGAAATTGGACACGTCCCAGATTCAGCTGAGTCCAATTGGATTCCCTATTGTAATACAATATTTTGAACCGAATTGGAAGTGGGCAGATCACAGATCAAGCTTATTCAACATAACTTCCGATTGACATCTAATCATATTTCAATTCGGATTAAGTAGACCCCAGATCCAGCTGATTACAATTCGATTCATGTTGGAATATAATTCGAATCTAAGTGGAATGCAGCAGCTCCCAGATACAGCTGTTTCCACTTGTATTCCTAGTGGCATCGAATTATCTCCAATTAGGCAGATTCCAGATCCAGCTGATTCCAAGTGCATTCCTATTGCAATCTAGGTATGCGCACATGCATCTTTCTCATACATTTTGATTTACGGAGTGTCCAGCCCTTACCCCCCCCTCGGCACATATTCCCGCATCGAATTGTGGTTTGTAGTCCTGCATTTTCCTGGCCTCGAGAGGCGCCCAAGAGGGCCCGGACGGCCCGAGATGGCTCCAGGGGGTGTGAAGACGACCTACGAGTCTTCCATGAGATCGGAAGGTGGCCGAAGAGGTCCCCCGAGCATCCGAAACGCCCAGGGCGAGGCCCTGGTCAGTCGAGCTTGACAGCGTGCTTTCATGTTCGATGGTTTTCCGCTTCTTCTGCTCCGTTGTCCAGAGGAGGAGGAGGAGGAGGAGGAGGAGGAGGAGGAGGAGAAGGAGGAGGAGGAGGAGGAGGAGGCGGAGGAAAGGGTGGAGGAGGTGGAGGAGGAGGAGGAGAGGAGGAGGAGGAGGAGGAGGGAGAAGGAGGAGGAGGATGAGGAGAAGCAGCAGCGGAGGAGGCGGAGGCGGAGGAAAGGGAGGAGGAGGAGGAGGAAGAGGAGGAGGAGGAGGAGGAGGAGGAGGAGGAGGAGGAACTTCGTTGTCCAGCTTGTTCTCCAGTGGGCTCCCGAGGGGGCGGCGGCGGACCGCCGAAGCGGAAACGAGACGTCACCGCAGGGTTTTCAAAAGGATAGCGGGCTCACAGCACGCACGAGCCTGAACGAGGAGGAGGAGGAGCAGGAGGAGGAGGCGGAGGAGGAGGAGGGAGGAGGGAGAGGACGAGGAGAAGGGGAGGAGAAAGAGGAGGAGGAGGAGCAGGAGGAGGAGGAGGAGGAGCAGGAGGAGGAGGAGGAGGAGGAGGAGGAGGAGGAGGAGGAGGAGGAGGAGGAGGAGGGGGGCCATCCTTTTTTTTGCTCCGCCTACCTGCACGGCCGTGCATAGGTTGCGCGCAGGCAAAGCTCCAGAGGGCTCCAGGGGAGCCCAAAAGGGGGGCCGACGAGCCGCCCAAAAGCAAAATTCAGTCTCAGAGCCCCGAGACGGCGAAAGATGGCACCGGGACGGCCCACGAGAGCCCCCAGGGGGATCCAGGACTCCCCAGAGCAACTCGAGAGGGCACAAGAGGCTCCTGGGACACCCCCGAGAGGCCCCCAAGAGTCACCGCCCAAGAGACCACCCCAACCCAACCCGAAGGCCCCGATTTGCCCTCCATTTCCAGTGGGCGGGCGGTCGGGGAACATTGAAACAACACATACGAAACCCGTACCCCCAATTCGGGTTTTCGGGTTGGGTTGGAGTGGTCTGGTAGGTAGTCAAAGAGGCCTCCCGTACAGCCCAATCATGCACCGGGAGCTTCTCCACACAACCCAAGAGCATCCCGGAGCGGCCCCACGAGAGCCTCAAGGTTCAAGGCCCAGGCGGGAGCGAGCAGCGGCATGCGGCCCCACGGGGAATGATTCTTGACGCTTGGCGTAACCCGCACCAGCCCATCCAGACACGACCAGATGTTGATGTTTTCATGAGGCCTCTTGGAGGCTATCTTGAGCCATGCTCGGCTAGAGGCTGTCGGAGGCTAGCTCGAGGCATTCTCAGCTATCTTGGGCTAATTTAAAGGCTGCCTTGAGGCCTCTTGGAGGTCTGTCGGATGCTACCTTAAGCCATGCTCGACCTCCTGGGACCATCTTGGGGGTAGGAAGGAGGAGGAGGAGGAGGAGGAGGATGAGGATGAGGATGATGAGGAGGCGGAGGAAAACGAGAAGGATGAGGAGGGGGAAGACGAGGAGGAGGATGAGGAGGAGGATAAATCCGGCACGAGGAAGGGGAGGAGGAGGGAGGAAGGCAAGAAACGGACGACGACAAGGAGGATGAGAAGTTGGGCTTCGAAGATATGCTGTTGTGAGAGGTTCTCGAAGGACGATTAGGGCCATCTTAGAGGCTCTCCTGGAGTCCCCGTGGGGCCTCTTGGGGCACTCTTGGGGCCCTCTTGAGGCTCGTCCTGGGGATCATGTGGCCCTCTTGGGGCTCATTGGAGGCCCCTTGGGCCCCATAGCTCAAAGAGAGGGGGAGGGTACCAATTCGCCCCCGACGCCCCCCTCCCCCCCCTCCCCCAGAGGCTCAAAGATTGCGTCTTGGGGGCCTTTCTGGACTGCTTTCGAGGCGCTCTTGGGA